CAATTCCGTACAAAAAAATTGATTGGAAAAAAAAAGCAGCTGAAACCTTTTTCGGAGGTTGAAATGGATCAGAGAAAAACAAAATGATCTAAAGTAGAGTATATGACAAATGAATGGTGAAAAGAAAAAAGTGATTATGTAATGAAATAAGTGAAGGATATTACAATATTTCAGGTAGACATTGATTGCATGTTAACACAATATACTTAAATCATTCTGCAAGAGACAACTTGTACAATTTATTTGACTTTTTTTTCATCAGTTCACCGAGCAATGATAAGCTTCTGGTTAAGATATCTTCAAATCAATTGATTTCTATCACATGCACACACTAATGGTTCTACAATCTAATAGGAACATATATAGACAATTCAATGGTATGTATGTGTGGTCACGGAAACACTGTATTTCTATTTTACAACTTTCATACTGTTTTTTGCTGTAATGGGTCTGATATTTTATTAATATAAAGTTAGCCAATGAATTACAGAGTTTACACAGATGAATAATGTTGCATTTTTGAATTGAAATGACATTGAACTGAAAAAATAACTTCACTGTCCATGGCTTTAGATATACAACACAAAACATTAGGTAGATCAACATAAAACAAGCAGCCTTTCGGCTGAGATAGCTCCGCTGTTAGCAAGGCACATTTCAATTATAGAACTGAAGATATCATTAGAAAATGAACAATATGTATAGCAATCGGACTTGCTGTTTTCAACAATAATTCAAAAATATCACTTTTTACCAAAAATGACATAAATATTCATCAAAATTAGATAATTGAAGATATCATCACGAAATGAACAAATCTGAGAAAGGTCCACATGTAGTATCTATACATGTAATATCAAAGCAATTGGACTTGTGGTTTTTAACAAAAAGTTGAAAATATCACTTTTTTACCAAAAATTACAAAAATATTCACCAAAATTAGAGAATTGAAGATATGATCATGAAATGAACCAACCTAAGAGAGGTCTACCCAAGGTACATATACACTAAGTATCAAACCATTCAGGCTTGTAGTTTCCAAGAAGAAGTCGAAAAAGTAAAACATTGACACGGACGACGATGGACGCCGACAGACAATCACTCATATGATAAGCTCCGCTCGACAAAGTCGACAGCGGAGCTAAAAATGAGAGCTGTGAACTGAAACATCCAAGGAAATATAAAACAAATAAATGCAGTTCTTAGAATTAGATGCAATTATATAGGTATATTGATAATCATAACATATCTAAATGAGAACATGGTTATTTAATAACAAAGCTAGTGTCATTTGGAGGACATAAAACAAAGGCCATGACAGTTTACTTTGTAATGGCACCATGAGAAATAGATCCATTGACACAAGATAAAACGATGATACAAAGTTGCTGGGTAGTCAAGAATGTTAGTCAAACAAACTTGATCAACTTCAGCGGGTATAAAAGTTTTTTCCAGCTTGCAGACAAAACATAAATAGTAACACATGCCAAGGGAAGGAGAATTTTACCCATATAAATGTCACTTCAATTCGCAATGATTCTTTTTTAGAAAAAAATACCCAGCTAATGGATCAAATCAAGTGTCTCCTGATAAAATTTAATGGCTGCAGAAATTATATCTATATTATTGTAAACAATAAACCAATCTCCATCAACAAGCTTCTTTGCTCCTCACATTGTGCCAGTCTTTTCACAGTAAGAAATAAGCATACAGTGTGATATTATTTTGCCTGCCTAGCCAACAAGCTTTAATTATATAGTCTACAAAGTCCTAAGTATTGAACAGATGAAGTGAAGCAGAACCTCAAATGGCTTCCCCACACATGGCATGCTTTAAATCTATAGAAACACTAAATCCCTGTTGACAAGTTTCTTAAAAAAAAAGTGTGATCAAACTCAGCAAACCATAGGACAATGGCTAATACATGAATTCAACACTCTTGGATTAACAAAGCTATTTTGTTTTGTGCACAGCAATTGGAAGGTTTGGAAACCATGTTGAATTGATGAGCTAAGAGGCATGTTAATAATGTGCCTGCCAAACTGAGTATGATTAAATTTGTATGGTATGCACTAGGTGTCAGCACTGGAGGCAGTCATAATGTAGACATTAAAGGTATTGGCTATTAACATTGAAATGAAACCCACTAACTGAGGTCGTTACTGATAATATTAATGAGGCATTCTGACTGTCAGCCAATCAATACTCATGTGCATTCCTGCTAATGTTTTCGCACAATACTTTTAGTAAATGGAATCAGAGCGACTATGTGATAATTAACTTAAGAAATGGGTATTCATAGCATGTCAAAGCTTTTAGTCAACACTATAACGTTGTTGGATATCTCATGCTTCATACTGAGCGCTGCCGGTCAGCACTGTACATTGGTGAAGACTACACAGGCTTATGACATTTCTTAACTTCTCAAAATGACTTGAGGTAACCTCGGCCACAATATCCGGTTGCAGAAACAGAGATTACAGTTACAGTGTCTGTGAAAATAGTCATTGAGATGTGTCTAACATAGTACATGCAGGAACGAGGCACTGCAAACACTACATGTGTCATTGTAAACACTTCAAGTGTGGACTATATTTTACTAAACTACAACGGAGCAATTAAGAGATGCAGCCAGTTACAAGTTGTGGGAGACACACCCCTTTTAAGGAACAGGTAATGTGGATATTTCCTTTGCATCCATGGTTCTAACGCCTGGCTAATACACCAATGTCTTTCCTGTCGTAAATTTCCACATGACTTATGTAATGATTCTGCATTTCAATTGAAGCCACAGTGTACAAAGATTACAGTGGCATTGACCTCTCAATGAGCACTGCTACTAATCTTAATGCTTTATTTCCCTTCACGTTTTTCTAAAGAAGAAAGTGCACGGAATGTGGCAATGATAAAACAGCACCAAACAGAAAGCAATTATTTCACTCAATCCCAACTAAATGCTGATAGCTATTGCCATTTATCTATACCTCCTCCCCTCAAGGCATCTTTGATATTTTATTGAAGGAACATAGAAACTGGACATGCTTTGTGGGGTTTTATACTGCAGGCATACGATGTGCTTTGATATAAATAGTTAATTGGGACAATCAGAGCATAGATCTTGTTAGTACACACTGCTTGTTTATATTCAGTGACACACAACATTTATAGCAATATAGGAGAGAATGAGAGTACTAGTCTACTAGTCGAGGACTAGTCGAATTTAGTGAATCTTTCGTTCATTAAACCTAATAATATGTTTTCTAACTAGACAAATCAGTTAAAATACAATACTGCAATTGAATGTGTGAAAGTAGAGAGGGTTAGAAAGACAAGCATGACATTGGGGAGTTCATTACAGAGACCCATCCAAGTATGTTTGTGTCTACCCTCACAGCTGGCTACAGCTCTCTCCCTGAAGGCCTACGTAATGATTTACTGACTTGAACTGTTCTTTTTGACAAGGCTAAGCTTCAGTGATCTGTTCAAGCAGCTGGTTAGATGACTGCTTTTTGAAAGTGAAGTGATCAAAGACTTGAAGCTTTCACAGAAACAACAACTTGCACTTAGTGGAGAGAATCAACGAGAAGCAATTGTTAATGTGGGGCATAGACACCCAATATTCTCAACTGATATCAATTATATGAAGCAATACAGGTAAGAGCTTTACATTAGTTTGTGCGTACATTTCATTCACACTACTCCCACCCTCCACACATACCACAATATATAAGACCCACTACACTGCTTTATAGTGCTTGAGAGTTGATTTTGTCAATGTTACTTTGAAGAGAACATAAGCACATCCATTCTAGGCACATCCATTCTAGGCACATCCATTCTAGGCACAAGCATTTGTGAGTATTAACATTTTGAAATGTGAGTAATCAGTTGTCAAGATAGTGTCAATCAAGAATGACAATTATGTAGATGACAATGCAAGAAATTATGAGTGTTCTTAAACCACCATGTGTACATCAGATATTCTGGTAAGTTTAGTCTTTTCAGAAAGATTGGAAGCAGTACTATTGGTACAGTCAAACCAAAACACCAACCAAACAAGTCATTGAAAATGACACAGTCCCTGTTAAATTTTTGAAAGTTCTTTTTGTGCTCATCCTATAAAAGCGAAGGGGTTGTCGCGAGTGTGTTCTTGAAACTTGAGTTCCAAGTGGCCTATACAACAGATTGTTTATTTACATCAAAACGCATGTTCCATGTACATGTAGTAGTAATATGGCCAAAAATAAAAACAGCAGTTATTCGGCCATCTTTGATCTGATTATGAAACACACTGATATGTATGATGTAAGTGTCAAATACAAACGAAAATGATACATAAATTGTGGAAATATAGTAGTAAGGCCGAAAAGTCAGATGGCTGTCAATCGGCCATCCTTGACCAGATTTTGAACAAATTGTCATGGACATGCATCCTAACATGTATAAAGTACATGTATGTACCAAATTTGAATGAAAACTGACAAAGCATG